GTTCCAGCTCTTTAGGGCACAGCTGGCAACTCCAGCCAAGGCCTGGTGGTCGTCTGAAGCGCTGGGCTGGAAGGATGCTGGCGTGGTCCCCAAGCTCAGAACTGACAAGTGCCATGAAGGGCTGAGGGAGGCAGGAGGAGAACCTGGTACGCAGGCCAGCATCTGTGATCTCTGATTTAGGGGCCAAGCCTCCCACATCTCCAGTGAGGCTTACTGGAAGTAGCCAGTGGGGGCAGAGGTCAGGACAGACCCCCAGGGGCCACTCCCCCCGGCTCTCGCGGGGCACACTCCCACAGCTCAGCAGCTTACGTCAGGGGTTCCGAGACACAGAGACAGAGATGGGACAGGCTGTGTGCAAGTGGATGAACCATCGAGGGGCTCCGTCAGGAGAAGCCCGAGGGGAGGGGGCCTCAGAGGGGCAGGGGCAGAAGGCCGGTGTACGGGTGGGATCAGGTGACATCCAGCCTCAGGCTGATCCCTAGGGGAGCCCTGGAGTTTGCATCGTACCACAGAACAACTCATCCTGCCTTGACAGAAGGGAGCTGGGCTGTGGGCTGCAGGAAGGGAGAGGTACGTAAACTGCCAGGCAGCTTCGAGCACCTCTCAGGCTCCGCTGTCGCAGCTGCAGGAGTGAGTTGCTACAGCAAGGAGGGAACGCCCTGGGAGGTGGCACCCGAGCCGGGGAGAAGACGCGGAGGGCGTGCCAGCAGCATCGCTGCAGCTCCAGGCGTGGTCCCTCCCCACACGCTGCCTCCTGGGGGGCATGCAGGGAAAACCGGGGGTGGGGGGTGGAGAAGATGACGATGGAAGAGCTGAGACACTGAGAACCCCTTCCCCACCACCTTCCATGTCATGAGTGGAAGTCTTGTGTGTGGACACGACGTGACCAAGGGCTTCAACTTACACCCAAGTGACCCAACCTTCTACGCCATCAGTCTTCTAAGGGCGGGGATGGGGGCCCTGGGGCCACGCTTGGAGGCCCACACTTCCCCCTGGGCCCCAGAGACAAATCGGAGTCTTTGGAAGCAGGGGAACAAAGCTAGCTGTCCTGACTTGTGTTCTTTGTCTTTGAAGGGTAGACCTGGCCCCCCCGGGGTGCCTGGCATGCCTGGGCCTGTCGGCTGGCCCGGCCCTGAAGGCCCCAGGGTAAGTGTGACGTGGTGTCAGAACCAGAGGGGAGCAGGTGGCAGCTCCCCTGGCCCCTGGCCCATAGTGGGTGAAGCTTCCTTCCTGCGGGGCTTGGGGGAGGAGGCAGGAGAGAGCAGAAGGGAGCACGAGGTCTGCCCGGAGGTCCCCAGACACTCCTGCTTCCCTTGGACCCAAGGTCTTGGTCAGTCCCACAGCTCTGCTCCTGCGGGGTCGGCAGGGAATGAGGGTGCTCCTTGTCCTGAGAATTAACGTGCAGTTAGTTATTCAGCTTTCCTGGGGTGACCCCAGAGAGCTGGTGTCCAGAAAGCTGTTGGCCTGTCCTGCTCATTGGGCAGGGCTGGGGGTCAGGGTATGGGAGTTGGCTGAATTCATACATTCAGAAAGAGATCACCAAATGCTGGTACAACCCCCTTCCTCAGGCAGGTTATGAAAAGCCAACATGTCCACACCCATATCTTTGGGTACATTTTTCTCGCTTTGATCCTGGACTGTTGGGTGTGGAAGCCATGACTTAGAAATGTGACCTGCAGAAGTCAGGGGCGGGCAGGTGAATGTCACATTCTGCTGTGACTCACTTACTGGCTGTACTTATTACGAGGATAGAAAATTGTTCCCAGTCCTCTTAGGAAGAGTCCCAAGGATATTTCTTTAAAAATCCGCTATACAGAGCTGAGCTGCCCAACGTGGCAGCCACCAGCCATGTGCAGCTTTTGAGCCCTTGAAATGTGCCCTGTGCAACTGAGGAACTGAATTTTAAGTTTGAATTGAAAAACCTTTCCTCTGGGAAGTTATTGGAAAACATTGAATTATTTTGGAGTGGCTTGAGTGTGTGAATCTGCTTTTTTCTTTAACTATAAATTTTATGAAACCTAAATACAGATCAAGTGTTTTGGAAGAAAATCTCGCACCTGGATTGAGATGTGATTTAAATGTTAAATACACAACAGGTTTCAAATATTTATTATCAAAAATAGAATGTAGAACCCTCATTAGTGATTTTTAATTGACATGTTGAAAAGATAATTAGATTAAATTAATTAGAGGAAATAAAATATGTTTTAAACTTAATTCCATCTGTTTAATTTTACTTTTACTGTGACTTCTGAAAAAATTAAAAATTAAGTTTGGGGCTCACCATATATTTTGCTGTTTAGTGCTGTTTTAGAGGGTTTTTTTTTTTAGCACAGAAACTACTGAAAATTCCAACTGTAAACCATTCTAAGATCCCAGCCATGAGTCCTAGCCCCCAGCCTCCATGGTAAATACCCAGAGTCTCTTGTTCATTCTGCTTGGCTGCAGACCTAGGGTAAGAGTACGTGGGAATATCTGAAAGGTTATCCCTATGTAAAGAGCAGAGAAGGGGAAGTTTTGGGGGGCGCTGAGACCCTGTCCTTCGAAGCCCTGTTGCCTGCACATGCTCTCCCCTACCTTTCACAGCCCTTTCTGGAAGACTGAACATCAGTCCACTTACAGTATCTTAGTGAGTGTTTAGTTTGGAGACAGTCTCCGCCTTGGATAATTTCACTCTCTGTTTAATCTCAAACACCAGAATGAAGCGTGGAGCATGCAGTCTCGGGCAAGTAAGCTAGGCAGCATTGGGGTCCTCAGAGTCACAGGCCAGCCCCAGTGTCCTCATTCCCACCCTGGTCTTGCCCGTGCCTCTCCTGGTTCACTTTCTCTAGGCAATGTCATTGTAGCTCTTCTTTTTCTGATTCCCACAGGGTGAAAAAGGCGACCTAGGTGTGATGGGCTTGCCAGGGTCGAGAGGACCAGTGGGCTCCAAGGTCAGTGCGTTGGTCCAGACACACGTTCCCAGGCTCTGGAGCGGCTGTAAAGACGGGGACTGGGCGGCTGCATCCTGGGCTGGGGACTGTCACAGATGTTGGAGAGCCCAGTGTCAGAGTGCGCCTGTCTCTGCCGGCCCGTTGGGGGATGTCGTGCCCTGGGGTGTGGGGGTGCAGGGAGGCATTCCTGCTGGTCTCCTGAGCTGCGAGGCTAGGCCTCTGGACAGCAGAGCAGGTGGAAACTTTTGTTCAGGCCTTTGGGGGAGTCAGAAGAGCAGTGTTCTTCTTAGGCCTGGTGTAAACCCAGCCCTCAGGGACATCTTTCGACTTACGGCTGCAACCCCTGCCCCTCAAACTTGCAGTGCAACGTGCAGACGTCTCACCTCCACGTTCAGGCCTCCCTTCCCTCTGGCACCAAACCCACCGGTCCTCCGGGGCTGACTGTCAACGCACCTTTGCTTTCTTTCAGGGCCACCCTGGATCCAGAGGGGAGAAGGTTGGTGCCCGTCTTGATGGCTTGGTCTGGGCTGCCAGGTCTGGGGTCAGTGACGAGCAGAGGGGTCCCCGGGGGTCTCTCTAGGCGGCGACTGCAGCCAGCAGGCCGAGATGTGCCCCGTCCCCGTCAGTGGCTGGGAGAGGGAAGCGAGGGCCTCTGGGGCAGGCCTGGGGCAGGTCGGGAGGAGCTCCCGGTGGAGGTAGAGGCCCTCACGTGGAGCAGGTGAGCAGCTGAGGGTCGTGCAGGTGGAGGTGAACGGGGTGCTGAGGGAAGGTGACAGGTGTGGGTCCAAGACCAAACTTCTACCACACAACCATGTCATCTGTCAAAAATGGGGCAACACAAAACCCCAGCCAGACATTAAGGACACATGTCCTAGAGGATAAGAGAAAGTCTGGGATCCAGAACCTTCTATGGGTTGTCCTCTATTACTGTAAGAGGTCTTTAGGGTCCAAGTAGGAGGTATGTCACAAAGCATTCCTTCCCGGGACCAGTCTCCTCCCCTCTGAGCCTGTTTCTGTGCCTGTTTCAGTTTGAAACACTCCAGGATTCCCCCCATGGTGTTAACTCATAGATTCTCTCCTGTGGTTCCTCCTAGGGGTCC